AAAATTCATGGTGAGCAGTAATAGTCCACTGCCCTTGAGTTCCTAAAGACAAGAAATCCCCTTCTCTGATTTCTTATTGCTAGGTCTAAGACACAGGCATTCTGCAGGCATTCACACACAGGCTAAGCAGACATTACTTAGATAACATACATATAAAATAAAATAAAACCATGACAATATGATATAGCCATGCTATATGGAAAAGTATGCAGTTAACTAAGACACTGGGCTTAATTTTGATTTCTAACTTTCTGTAGAACTTAATACTAATTTTGAAGTCAGAATCACAGACATTCAGTAAGAACAGCTACATATATTCAGCAAGTTCATGTGACTTTTTTAAAAACTTATGTGAATTCACACACTGGATGAAAAAAAGATGTGACAATTATAGAACAAATTAGGCTGAAAGGAACGTGGCTGAGGAGTTCACGTAGTCTAAGCTCCTGCTCAGAGAAGCTCCAGTTAGAGCAGGGCTTCACCCAGCTGTGTTTTGAGTATTTCCAAGGATGAAGATTCTGCAACTTATTTGGGCAACCTGTTTCAATATCTGACTACTCTTACAGCAAAGGGGCAAAAAGGAAAAAAAAGAAAAAATTCTTATAAATGACTGGAATTTCCCATGTTCCAACTTGCACCCGTTGCCTTTTGTTCTATTTGTTGCAACTCCAAAAAGAATCTGGCTCCATCTTATCACGTAATTGCAGTCCCTGCCATCAAATTTTAATACAGTGTCTACCGTTTAAATACAGCCATCTCTATAGTACCTTGAAATTAAATTCATGTGAGAAAGCTGGGCTACAGAATAATTTCTTCTCCATGTTCACCATACAGGAGTACTTGTCAGAGGGCAACCAGCAACAGTTTTAATTTGTAGCAAGGAAGCTTTAGACGGGATGTTAAGAAAAAGATTTTCTAATTATAAGGTTTAATAAATCAGTAGAACAGTTGTCTGGTGAAGTTGCAGAGATCTTAGAGATCTCCATCCCTGGAGGTCTTTGAGAACAAGTCAGACAAACTTCTATCAGGTATGACACAGATCTTGCCTTGGGGCAGAGGAGTGGACGAGATAATCTTTGCAGTACTTTCTGTCCCTGTGTTTTCTATGTAGGTCGAGACTGCCTCTGGTTAATCCCGGCGACTAGCACACAGGCTCGAGCCTATGGGCCAAATTATAACTTGTTTAATGCTACTGAAATACTGAAGCCTAAATTATACATTTGAGGTATCGTATTGATACCTACTTTTTCAAACTTTAGCATTTGTCTGACAGAGCTCACATACTAGTTCCTGTGCTGAGATGCTTAAGAATTCCTTCCTAACCAATTATGGGAGAATGTGCTAATTCCTCCATGTACCGCTACGGGAACGATACGTGGGGATGATTGACAGGCAAGGGAATTTGCCTACACTGTCAGGGCAAAGCCTTCAGCTGGATGGGAACCTCAGACAAGGCAAGCCTGGGGCCAAAGACATTCACTACCACTGAAACTAACCCAAGTACCTATCACCGCTGCTACTACTACAGCACGGTAGTACGGGTGGGAGTCAGGTTAGACTTGTGGCACAAGCACGTCCAACAAAACAAGTACTGTGTGATTTCTTCAAAACTGTACTAACACGACGTTCTCCAGCACGTGGCGCGCTACAGCAGCAGCGTTGGCTTATTTGGTAGCTGTTCCACATGATCCAACTAGCACCTATGTCCCAACTGTAAACCTCTATTTTAAGGGCATTACCAAAAGCAAAAGTGCAGGAAGCACTGATGCAATATTCCTTTTAAAAACAAAGTCCCTGTAGCACTAGAAGTGAGGTTAATGATACACTAACATGTGCTGGACACAATGTAATGCAGATACTTAGAACGCTAAACATGAAGTTCAAGAATTGTTTACATCCACACAACCATCTGTTCAACAATCCCACTGCTCAAATGGAGTGTTTACTCAGACAGAGCACTGCTTACAACTCTAATTCAAAGAAACAGAAGCAAAACAAAATCTGTAAATAAATAGTGGTGGTTGGTGGTGTACTTTCTGGCAATGAATTAATAGACACAGCAAATATATTTCAGTACTGTTTTCTGGAAAGTGATCAAATAATGATTGATAAAGTCACCTTGGCACAGAAAGATTAGGCTTCATATTTTCATGAAGTGAGTATTAAAGTATCTTTTTGTTCCTCTGTGAAATAAATATTTCATGGCAGGGAAAAAAAATACCAGGGGTAAAGTACAGAACTGGTAACTAAAGTGCTCAGAAGAGCCAGAGAGCTACAGTAGCTCAGCACATTTCCCAGCTCCATTCACCCCGTCAGCTATAATTTAGATGCCCGACCTTTGCTGCTAAATCAGAGACTTATAGTTCCCTCACTATTTTGCCCCTGGCCTCCTGCTGAGACAGCCAATCACAGCATATAAGTCTACATGTAAGTCTATCAGAAACATGATAGCTCATTAACTTGGTGACAGGCACGCACAATACGGTTTCAACTTTTAGCTATCATCCCCCTGAAATTACTAGGTAGAAGCACGGTTCAGGAACACAGACATGTATGAAAACCTGCCCAAACCCTATCCACATGGGTATATAGATTTAGACATTCCTCACAAAGTACACTTTCCATAACAACAAAACATTATTTTTTTTCAGCCTTTGATGACTCAATTAATAAAACTAGAATGTCTTTCAATACCATACAGTCTCCCTTTCAAACAATACAGTCTCATTTCTCTCCAACCATCCAACTGCATTCTAGTGATCTTTGCACAAGACAGCTTATTTTGGCCAATGTCACGCACCAGACAGCGTGGTGTTACCAAAATGCAAGTGTGTGTTGAGGGAGCAGTGGGGCGGGGAGGGGGGCGAAAGACTTTCTTCACAAAAAACAAGGTTGTGGGGGGACACACCAGTAGAAAAGTAAGTGCTCTCTCCATCTCTTCTCAATCAATTTTTACTACCTAGTTTTAATTTCAGTGCACACAAGATGTAAAATTATAGTGCTAAAAGCACTCATTACTATGCATATGAGCCTGTTTGAGTGTGCCAGAAGCTTTTTGATTGGTTTAAGAAAGAGAGGAGTAAGTGAGACAGGAAACTCTCAGTACTGTTGAATAGCCAACACGCTCCAGTAACCCGAAAACTGCACCTTTCTTATAAAGCCTATACAAACACTAGGTATTATTTCAAAGATAACACAATGTACACTGTAACATATTAGACTTACAAATGTAGGTCAAATACAATGCAATTAAATAAAAAGTTATGGCAGGACAAAGAAAACAGATCAGATATTTGGAACAAAACTTTACAGCATTAATATTGGCACCAACTTTTAATACAGTATTACAAAAACACAAGTTCCGAGTAGAAGACTTTATTGCAACAAATTTTGATTCAGCAGGAAAGATTCTGACCTTGGGCTTTTTTAAATTAAAAAATAAATGAGATTTAGTTTTTGGCAAGAAAGAAACACTCTTAGGTATCTTAAACCTGCTGTGTTCCCTTTGCTCCAAGTACACATCCCACTTGTTCCTTGAGACACCTAGCCCTCTTCATACTTCCTTTTAAGCATTTCCTGGTGTTGAAGTCCTGTGCATGTATGCTAAATGATTCCCCTTCCTCAGTCAAAACCTTCTTCAAAAAAAAAACGTTTTAGAATTTTTCACTGATCTAACATAGAAAAATAAGATTATTTTTTTTTTTATGCAGAAAATTTGCTTCTATTACAACAGAAACTCCTCTGGTTTATCAGAATCCTTTCTGCCTGCATTTCAAGACATAAAATCAATAGTCCATGATTTATGGTACCAGGAAGGCATTCAGTGGCACTTTCCAGGAGCTCAGAACTGACAGAGTTGGCTTGACACCACAGGGCTTCTGAACAAATGTCACTGCATTGTTTCCCACCTTGATGTAGATAAACTACATTCAACGTGGAATTGTTCTTAAGCTAATAACCCTGTTGGACTGAACCGGGTCTTTGTAGAGGCAACTGCAGTGTCTCTTCAGCTTTGGCAAATCCCAACCAAGCAGTCCCTAGATGCTGATGATGCAACTACACAGAGACTGTAGGCCATACAGGAAGAAGACCGCTTCCTCCTCCATATACTGTTAATGGTCAATAAATGCAACACGGGTTAGAAATCCCAGATTCAGTGTGTTTGTGTTAAGAAGTCCATTTCATCCCCAAAGAAATCTGGCAGACTAGTCAAGGCCCTTTTGGGGAAGTAGCTACATTACCTGCATTAAACTAAAATGACTAGGAAAAGGAACAAAAACCCAAGCAAAAGTGTTAGTGAATGAATCACTAAAATGGGTCTGTGCAGGGCATGATGTGACTGCAGCAAAGACAGCTGTTATCACCTGGCCAAGTCCTGTACATAATCGTTTATGATATTTGACTAAATCTAAACACAACTTCATAGGCAACTACCACTTTGTGTCAGGTGGCATAGGAGAAAGCCCTGATACAGAGAAGCACATCCTTTTTTGCAGTAAAATGCTTTCAGAACAAGACAAGCATGATTAACATGGATAGTGCTGGTGAAGAACAGCCAACATGAATATGAGTTTCAGCAGAAAGATCTTACAGCACTTTGGTTGGCAACCAGTGGACTTTTATGCAGGCAAACACTTGCCCGTTAGATATTCATACTTCATATTAAAATAGTGCTTTAGAGGAATGCCCAGAACAGTCATGTGATAAAAACGCTAGCTTCTTTCTGCACTGGCTGACTGCATGTAGAATTAGCATTAGACTCCCACTTGTTAATGTAAGTAAAGATGTGATTTTTTTTTAAAGGATGTGAAGCATGGAGAGTTTTTCTGTCTTCCACATGTCTATTAGTACCTTGACATAACAGACCCTAACCCAGAACATGGCAACCAGGTGCTACATTGCAAGTGCAGAATACATCCAACATCAGAACACAAGCAAGCAGTCACAAGCAGAGGTGGCAAGCATTAGCGCAATTCAACATTAGTAAATAAAAATCATACCTTCAAAAGTGCAGGCAAAGTTGTGCTTTCCTTTTGGTTGTTCTTCAAATTTATGGCTTCATTCCCTTTGTTTTCAGAACTGAAAAAAAAAAAAAAAAAAAAAAAAAGTATTTTGTAACAGCAAGGACTTGGATTATTTAAATCTACCGAGAGCAAACATAGTATCATTCAATTTGAACACAAGAGAGCATTAACTTAAGAGGACAGAAGAACATATTTTCCAAACCATAGTCCATATTCTGCACATATTGCAACTGAAAAAGCCATGCCCCAAAAAGCTGAAGATGGGAGTAAAATGCTTGTTTAACCTCATACACAGATTTTCAAACGCAAGCATTCAGAAACAGCACACAGCGTTTCAGCAATTCCAGCTGAAAAAACCCCAAGCTTTCTGTGCATATGTATTATTTTCTGCTGGAAAAGTGATACTATAGTTGATCAATCATCTACTAAACCAGTAGTCACTGCTACAGCACTATCTGGCACACCTTGCAGCTAGAATGTAACCCCAATCCTTATACCAAGAACTGTGACTGAGTAGAACATACTCAGGGCAGATGGAATCATAACAAATCCCAGCTACCACGTTTAACAGGTCTTCACTGAACAGGCCTAATGGGGGTTTGCAGGCAAATTTAGAGGAAATTTTAGGAAGGGGGCAACAGGCATGACGTTATTACCAAGGCAACACCCACTGTTCCATTTTAAAACTCTGGAGTCCACACTCACATATGTCCTTATTGCCAATTTACCTTGGCCACAATTTTCTTCAGAGCTTATGTTTGGAATGAAGGGAACTGTTTCCCCCACCCTCTCCCACTCCAATTCTTAAAAGGATCCTTAAGCATAACCCAGCAGAGAACATTTTCATCAAAACCTTTATGCAACATGCATTTTAGAAGCAAAAACATATCAAGGAAAACATAAGAGGATGATAATGACAGATATCACTTCCTGCATTGCATATCATAAGCTGAAGAAAAATAACTTGGTAACAGTGTATCATGTGAACAATTCTCAGTATTGCAATGAAGTCATAATCACTTCAAAAACCCTTCTTTATCAATTTTAGAAATTTAGCTTTGCTATTGACAAACGCACAAATCCTTATTTCAGAATTTGTACGAAGAGATTAATTGAAATCTATTTAAATAAAAAGTAATTATTTGCATTTTGGTGAATTTCTGCCAGGATTCGGAGAAAGGATTTAGATGTACTGGTACTCCTACTGCTTCTGACTGTTAAACACAGGCAAGCATGTCTCAGACTTCTGAAAAGCAAGGTTTTCTTCCTATTGTGGATTAGGCATCTGAGTTAAATATACATTGATATACACACAAAATACAAAAGCCAGTCTGACCAAATGTTAATTTCCCTCTCAGCCGCTCAGAGACAACATTCCCTGAACAAAAATGAGAATAGAACTCTCCTGCAATTAAGTTTCTCAACATCTTTCAGAACTTTTCAGCTACATCAAAAGAAAAGCTCTGTCCACTTTTATAGATCCTCTTCAAGTTGAAAACCATGTACTTTCAGATCACCTCAGGTAATCTTTCATAATGCATTCATAAACACAAAGATGCTTTTTCAGGGAGAGCATCAGACAGAAAGTCTTGGCTGTTCTTTGCCTCCCTGTAAGACAGAGCAGACAAATTAATATTCTATCCTATTAATGTATTCAGCTGTTAATGTGCTTCATGAAGGTGTCACCATTACCTCTGGGCAATCTGGCACAATAATAAAAGTGCTTCTCAGTACGTAACCTATTTTCTCCTTCTTATTTTTTTTTAAAAAACCACCCTTCTCAGATCTGCATAGTCTTTCTTGATGCTGATACACTTGACGTGAACAGGAATTCCCTGTACTTAAAAGCAGAATAATAAGGTTGATCTCCACCACACGTTCTTCCTAGCTTCAGGATATCAGTCTTTATGGAACTGGTCTGCAGACCATAAGTGAGATCTTTGCTTTTCCAAAATATTGCCAACACAGATCACCAGCATTCTATTATTTTATCACTTTGTTTTGCTAACGCTCTTCCCTTCGCATCATGTTTTTCTTCCCAAAACTTTTTCACTTTCCTACTTCTTGTTTGTATGAGAAATATGTGCCCGTATTACTTTCTTCTAGCTAGCCAGGCTTGGACAGATCGCTGTGAAATTCCATAGTGTACATACCAAAACTGAAAGAATGCAATTCAGCAGATAAGCATCTTAAAATCCACAAGCGGAAAAAAAAAAAAAAAAAGTATCAAAACTTTACTTTCCAGCATAAAATAAAGCTAAACCTGGAAGCAATTCCTCACACTCTTTCATGGTTTATATTCTAGCATTTCTACATTCCTGAACCTTTTGCTTTAGGGTGTAGTTCCTCAACATGCTGACTTTGTCAGGAGAACTAGCTTTAGAAACTTCCACGCCTTCCTCCTCCACCTCAGCTATCTCTTCCCACCCTTAACTCAGCTGAGCAGGGATCTCTGCAGGACCATGGTCTTGGATAAAATCAAGGAGGGAGCAGAAGCTTCCATCAGGAAAAATTCATCCTGTGATCCAGTTTACAGTGGTGTGATCTGTACCGGCACAAACGAAGGGGCAACGAATGCCGCTCAGCAGGCAGGAACACGCAAGCACGCAGCACTGCCGCTCACTTTGCCACTGAAGCTCCTTGTGAACCTACTCTACCCTTAGACAGGGCCCAGTTTGAAAAGGATCTTTGACTGAAACCAAATGACTCACACTGAATGAATAAAGTTTACAGAACAAAAGCTCGCTTTGCTGGAAACAGGCCTCTTGGATTGTTTAGGATAAACTTGTTTTGTTTTTCCCAAAGACTCAAGATTACTTTCTACAGCCTAAACACCACAGACACAGCAGCTAGTGCCACACTCTGTACTTGGGACTGGAGAACAGGCTGGCTGCTGCTCATTAGGCTTAAATGATGAAGCTTATTACTTCCCACAACCAATCCCCTACAATTTTTACAGCTTTTCCCCTTCTCATCATTGCATCAATCACATAACAGACACTAATTACAAATTTTGGAACACTGCACAGTATTTTCCCCACAAACTCTCTGAAGAAGAAAATAAAGAAGTAAAGTTTATAAGCGACCCCTACAACCCTACATTCCTTGTTAAAGAAAAAACAAAACACGGTGAAGCTAATGTAATTATGCGACACATATTCTTATGCTGCAACATAAGGCCATGTTGTCCATATGAGTCTATATTCAGAGATACAGTGAATGCAATTATTAAACTATAGCATTCACAATTAAAATTAATTACTGGGAAATAAGGAAGACATTTAGCATTTATGCAAAAATTATCCATTCTTTATATTTTTTTTATATGCCCATGCTATCCTATAGTGGCTAGATGTTATATTTACAAGAACTATATTCTACAGGGGTTTCCATATCCTTTTCTACAGGACAATCTCTGCAACTAGATATCATTATAAACATTGACCTGGCAGCTACATGATGTCACATCATTGAATTCCTACTCCTTTGCTGAGAACTGAAAACAACTATATACCAGCTCACCGTGAACTAGGGATTCCACCCCATCCGGGCTACACCTGTATTATTAAAGTTTGGCTCCACAGAGTTTCATCCTTGCTTTAAGCTTTTCCAGAGTGGTCCATTTTTTGGAGCACTTTGTATGCCATCTCCAGTTCAGCACATCTAAAGTTAGTCTTGTGCTTAACCCCTTCCACGGCTTTGCTAGATCAGCCAGCCAGCCAGCTCTCGGACAGCACTTCAGCACTGGCTGAATTAGGAAGATGAATCTTACAGGTCTCCAACTCTATGCTTCACAAACTGCTGTTGTCACATTATATACCCAGTAATAGGACTCTACTAATCCAAGTTTTGAAACTACTTGTACTTGCTTTTAAAAAGTGAAAGAGCAAAGCATGATCCTAGGAAAACAGAAAACACCTCTGCCCTGTCAGCTTCCTTCCATGGACTTCTTAACTATACAGGCAGTCATTTACAAATTGTCACAACCATTTGTTTACATATTTAGGCAGATATTATTTTCACTCTATAGATGTTAAAAAAAAAAAATCATGGAAATATTAAGTAACACCCAGAGAAATGAAAGCACTGTCAAAATTAAGACTAGAAACTACACCTCTTGACTGCTTCTCAGATATGTAATCTACTGCCTTCCTGCTTCTATTTCTGCCAGACATTCCCTTTTCTCTTACACATTAGCGATTCCAACTTGGATGGGTTAATTTTCAGCGAAGGTAGAGGGATCTCTTCTCCTCGACTGTCTTGCCAGCATGCCTAACATGATTAGCTTCACTCCTATTCTTGAAATAATCAAGATTAAACTCAAGTTACAAGAGATCCCATCCTCTATCTTCTCCGCAAATCTTTCTCTGCGTGATTTTCTAACACTTTCTGTTCCTCTGCTGCTGAAAATCTGTTTTGACCTCTCTGTAATACTTGGACAGGTGGTGTCTGAATCAGAAGCAGATTTGTGGTCCAAGTTTTTAATCATTACACTTATGCAGGAGATGTTAGAGATTCTTGTCAGGGAGACAAATGTTGATATTCTGCAATGTTGCTCATACAAAAAGTAGACACACATATGCAGAAGTACTCTAACTCAGGTTAGTTAATATACGTGAGGGATTACAATAAAAAAAAAAATCACTTTAATGGAGAAAATTTAAGTACACAGTTTGTGAGATCTTTTCCAACTGCCTCTAAAAACACACCAAGACAATTACAATCAGATCTTCAAAAGGCCCTCATGGCATCTCTGTACGGTGTGAGAAGCCTGTTTCCTCCATCCTTGTGCTTCATAACAATCCCTCGGAACTTGCAAATTAAAAGCCCATCCCCTCCTTCCTTTACTAATCTACCCCACCCATGTTATGCACACAGCAGATCGTGAATGTGTTGTGTGAGATAAAAAAAATAAGCTACAGGCAGCATGCAAGTGCAATGAAGCACAAACATGCAAATTTTGATGAGACTGACCAGATGCAGATCTCACCAAACTCAAAGTAACCCCTGTGACATTTTAGGTTCCTTTTATAAGCAGAAGGCACAGGCTGCTGA